GTGTGTGTGTGTGTGAAAATGCAAGTTTTCTGTTAGGATGTGAATTGTGATTAGGTAGATCATATAACAGTAAAACAATAAAAGTGTCTATTTAAAGTGTGTGTGTGTATTAGAGTTGTCTTGTACACTGAATTAGCCAATGGCAGTTGTTCTGGTTCTTGTTCACTGCTTCACTGACCTTTTACCATGTTGTTCCATCTACCAGCGGGACCCTGGGGAAGGGGCCGTCTCACGGTGATGACATCTTAAGTGCGAGACACCAATGAAACCTGACAGATGCTGAGAGTAAAAAGTGAACACAAGTTTGTGTGTGAAAGAGAGAACATACAGGAAGAAGAAAAACAGTCAAATTAGGGCAGGATTTTTCTCTCCCTTCCAGAAACAACATGTACTTGCAACAGTTGACACCCCTTCTGTTCAAACCCATGGCAGAAACCCATTATCATGCTGTAAATATTCCAAAAGAGGGTAAGATCATTGTAATGTTTTTCTGTGATGACCAGAAACCCACTTGCACTATTATATGACTATTATGGCATATCAGTAGTTCATCAAACCCTTCAAATGTAGCCCTTTTCCTCATTTGATTCTAATTTAGACTACATAACTAAGTTAAATGAGGCTATTCCAAATAATACACACAAAAATGTTCCTTGAAAGATGATCGTAAACGTAAATTGAACGTTTTTTTATATAGATTCTTTCAAAAATCCCAAGATCGAACTTTTACTAGTGAAGAACGTTCCAACGGCTGCTCGAAGCTTCGAAATCTTTATGAATCTTTAGTTTTGAATCAAGATTCACTTCGTAGCGAGTCACGTGATTTCACCAAACTGTTTGTTTGTTTGTTTTTTGCGTGATTTCAGATTTAAAAAGTCTACATATTGTAAAGATTACATTAATTGTAGCCTATTTATTGATATTTTAGATTATTAGACCTTCAGTCTCGCTATTTAATGAAAACATTTGTAACTGTCTGTAGAACAGTTTTCGCGGTGTTTTCGTTGCATTTGCACGTCAGCAGGTGTACACAACGTTTCAAGCGCTTCAAAACAGTGAGTGAATCATTTTGCGGAGCTATTTGCTGGATTGATTCTACTTTGATTCACTAACAAGTGACTCGATGAACCGGCTATTTTAATGAATCACTTTGAAAGATTAACGACCTCAGGAGTTACCGTTTGAATCAGTCTGATGAATCCGTAAAATGAATAGAGTTGTCGTTTCTTCTAGCGATGGAATTTAACATATAACAAATAGACGGTTGGAATGTGTATTATATAATCTAAAGAGTAGGCTGCTACAGAACGCTGATTTCGAATTTGATTTGATTTGACTTCAAAGTAGCTGCCTCTGTAGGTGATTTTTTTGGTATGTTTTATTCAGAATCAGAAATATGTTTTATCCTGGTCAGTAATATTGTTTAAGAACAAATGATTGATGTTTGATGCGATGATCATAATATATTATAGCCTATTTTCCTGTTCTTCAGCTGATGGCAGCACAATCCAACTGGAAGCAACAGCTTTTCCTGCCAGGAGAGCACATACTTTGGGATTAGAGACATAACAGCAGGTGACAAGTTACAGCAGGTTTATTTTTCAGTTCATTGGCTTCCTGTACAAACACATCATCCACTATTATCCTGTCTGTAAAAATAGAAATGTATATCTGAAACAGAACTTTTACCCTTTTTTTAAATCTCAAAAGCCTAGGTGAATGAAAACAAATAAGTGAATAATATATAATCTGTAAGGAAATGGCACAATCAAAATAATCTTCCATTTGTAAGGCCCTGGATTTTGTACTAGCAGCAGTAACTTTGATGTCAGGCTGCAGAATGGATCATTTCAAGTGGCTGCATTGCATCAGGGAGATGTTTGAACCAGTGTTGCCAACTAATTTTCAGGGGAAGTTGCTAAAGGAAGGTCGATTTGTTGCTAAAAGTTGCTAAATGACGTTGTGATGTCATTGCGCGATGACGTCATTACGTAATCACAACGCAAAATTGTCACTACATCAAATCTCAGCAAATATATATTTTATATGTTAATGTAGATTTGCTCGTAAAATAATATAAATGCATAATATACTGCAAATAGCAATAACTTAATTCATGTGATGTATGTACTTCTAGGCATCTTTGGTTTCCTCTTTTTGTGAAATTTAGATGGAAAATGTGTGCCTTTGTTTGAGTCACTTATCAAAAGTTGCTAAAAGTAGCCAAATAAAATTGAAAAATAGCTAAATTAGTTGCTAGGTGCTTTTGGAAGAAAAAGTTGCTAGGGTAGTCTGAAAAGTTGCTAAA